CTCGGCGTTCATGTCTGTAGTGCAGGAACACGAGTTCAGTATTCCTTGTAGGGAGGATGTGGAATGTATATCCGTACTGGTCGAGAGCACCACCTTGACGCATGATCCCGTAGACCTCTTGTGCGCTGCTCGCGTAGTAGTCGGACAAGTTCTTGACGTAGACACCTTTGTTCTTCTCCAGTTGTCGTTCTGCGCTGAGAACGACAGATATGCCCATCAGCGTTGCGTTACATGGTGAGTACGGGCGAGATGAGAACGTACGCTGGAGTAGATCGCGAATACGCTCGAGGTAGATCTCCATATATGTGACCTTGACGAAGTAAGCGAGGTGTGCGTCCGACTCGACAATAGACTGGAAGACCTGCTCTGTGATATGCGGGATGACACCGCCCAGTTCAGGCGAGTCGATATCGGCACCCTGCTTAATGATCAAGGTTTGCTTCCGTTCAAGCAGACGAACATGAACACGCACCATCATCGTGAATGTGTTTTCACTACCAGTCTGTCCGTGCGCAAACACAGTTCCGTCGTATCCATCGAGCACATCTATGCCATCTATCAGTCTCTGCCGCTCGTCATATACACTTTAAGCTCACCCTTCATGATACTGTACGTCTCCATCGACACGACCAGGGCGCCCTTGTGCACGGGTCCAGCGAGGAGAACGCCTCCTTTGAACGCTCGAAGAGCGTCGTTCCACTCCAGCAGGCCGTGAAGGCTAGAATGACGGGGTGTGCCGAGCTCCGGGTGACACGGCCCCATGCTTCCGCGATATCTTGTATCTTCGTATCTCGCCGCAGTCTCGCCACAATCTGGCAAGCCATACGGCCGGTCTCCCGCCACGAGACACCTCGAACCTCGGATCATCGCGTCCGCATCGCGCGGTCGTGAGCCGAAAGAGGGTAGCAAAGCCTGTGGGAGGAAGGCCTCCGTTGACTTTGATCCACCTCCTCGCCGTCGTCGTCGCCGTGATTGAGCGGTTTGGGCGCGTTCGGTGACAGGACGAGCAGCCGGAAGAATGCACGACTCGAACCCGCGCGATGTAACTCCAGAATCGCGCGGCTGACAACATGTCCTGGCCCCGGGATGAGACGGTGGGATGGGCACTGTGCAAGGTAAAAGTTAGTCACGACGGTCCGAAGCCGCTTGAACGACTAATCAACCCACGCAATGTCGATGAGCCTGAAATCAGCATCGTGGCTCGAGATCAATGACCGACGAGGTCGTCGCGGGGAGGGTATGGGGCCGGAAGACGGTGACAACGCTTTCGCAAAAGCTCTCGTCCCATCAGCCAGACGAGAAGAACACGCGAGGTATCCAGCTTCGAGTGACAAGTCTCCGGGAACATGCACAGATGAGCAGGATCATCGAAAGAGCAGGTAGTGGAGCCGGCGCCAGACGCGTGTGCATAGCTAGAGTCGTGCCGCAGGAGAAGGAGGTAGTGGCAGGAGACAACCGCCGCAGCCCGGGATTGATCGCTGATAGAGCACACGTCCATGTCCCGATTGTCACGTCGCGCTATGCGGCAGTTTGTACCTCTGGATCTTTCGGTATTCCCTTTGCATCTCCTCTGTTCGCGTGCAGATGCGCTGTACGAGTTGCGATAGATGAGGCACGGGTGGTAAAGTCACGGCTACTTAAGTTTGTATCGTGCTAGCAACTCTCGCTCGCAAGGGCCAAGATGACCTTCTAGTTCTATGAGAATCGCATATTCGCCGCGTGTCGCGCTACGACACCTATGCAAGGAGGGAGGGGGAAGACGCAGGAGATGAATAGCACGAGATCCAGCACGCGACGGATCAAGCGGGGCGCGCGGGCCGAAACTGAAGGCCGAATGCGATGCACACATCGTGAGTACCACCACCACTGCTTGCAGCTCGGGTCCTCCGGGGCATCACCGACACCGAGTATCGATGCAAGATCGCTCGATGTGGACATTCAAGGTCTTCATAAGCAGGAGCCAATGCTATCACGCAAGTTCCTTCTGTCGCGTACCCTCAGAAGCACTCTGGCTTGAATGGAACCGAGCGAACGTTGCGGCATTTCCCACCGGTTCATCCACCTCAGGCCAACGATGCATCCACTCTGACCCTCTAAGACTATGACTGGAAGGAGAACAGCTCTACACGTGCACAGCTCCTGCGAGGTAGCAGGTCATGGAATATCGGTATAAACCCCTGTCCGCCCGTGAGGCGTAAGACGTCCACGGGCCGATCGCGGTCCGGGGTGCTTTGCTGGTTTATTTCAGTTTCGGAATCTCAAAGTCCGGCCGCCCTTGATCAGTGCTTCAGCGGTGACCACCGCCAAATGGAATCACCGTCTCGCCATCACGACCCTTCGCGCACGAACCGTCACTGAGATCCGACCTGTGGAAGTAAACTCGCCGCGCGTTTGCCGTCTTGGGTATCCGCAATCCTCGTCAATAGGCTATCGAGCAACATCCGGCTCCCTCCAATCCAGTTCTTGTCGCATTTCCCTCCCCGACTGATCGATGCTCTATGACCTGAAAGAGAGAAGCATCTTGCATCGAATATTGAGTCCGATCAAGCGCGCATTCACGAGACTTCGTTGCACATCTCCTACCCTAGCTGCTTTTCGATTTTAAGCCTCACACGGTCGGGATGCGCCCGTGGGTCATCAAACACGGAGGTAGAGCACCGCTCGTCGGAACTGTATCGGAAACCGAGCATGGGGGGCCGTTCAACTTACAGAGCCAGCGCGAGCTTCCCCGTGTTGTTGGTCCGCGCATGAGGTTCCTTCTGCTACCATGCAGTATCAGAGGCTCGAGGGCGACGGCCCGCGCAAGCGCATTCGCTTGCGAATGGTTTCCAACTTCGGCGGATCTGGAGGCGCGTCTGGCTTCATGAAACCTCTGTTATCTGCTACAACGGCGTCAAGTACTTTTCTCAAGGTGGACGCCGCGGACCTCTCAAAACCCTTCGTATTTGGGTCTACGCTACAGCAAGGACCGGAACCTCGCGCCTGGATCCACGAGGGTACAGGAGGGCAGACGACAAGATTGACGGCCAACGGCCATGGGCATGACGGAAACGGCGCAGACCACTTAAGGAGTATCCTTTCCGAAGGGTTTCACGGTGTATCCCTGACGAGAGCAAAGAGAAAGGGCGAGTCTTTGGCGTATTGCTTTCATGCCAAACTCTGACGCCAGTACTGTCTTGCAAAGAGCCCGAATCCGAGGTTACGCCTGTCGTAGAAGTTAATGATACTACAACAGAACAAGATGAAACCCGCGAGGAGTCGACCGCCACGCCGTCGCTCACGAAACGGATACGCAAGCTTTGGACTGTGAGTGTCGCTTGTGACGACGTGCGCCTGTGACTTAAGTATGCGGACAGGAGTTTCCTATGATACCGTGGTGGTTCAAGCGCCGAGACCGACATCTGCTAGAGACGATACGACTGGACGGGAGAGCAGAAGCCTTGAACCTTACACACTGCCCCTCTTGCAAGAGCGCTGGATTCCCGGCTTATCGATGTGAAGACTGCCGTGGGGCCGACATGTGCAAACAGTGCATGTTGCGCTTGCACATTTATATGCCTCTTCACAAGATAGAGGTGCGTCCATCCGTCTTGCGTGGACATCGACAGTATCTCACCGTGTACAACATATACCAGTGCTATAATGAGGCGAATGGTCATTACGAACGGCTAGCAGGCGCAGAACTGGGATTACGCATTCAACTTCTGCATCCAGCCGGAGAAATCTGCGACTTCAGGGTCCTCCACTCGATATCGAAGTTCACGATCGTGCACACCAACGGTATACATACCATACCGGTGGACTTCTGCGGCTGTGATCGGGGCCGGCACGTACCTTATGATATCCAGCTCATACGGTGGAGACTCTGGCCGGCCACATGCGATGATCCTCAGACGGCTACTACTTTCGAAGCCTTGGACCTATTTACAAGACTTTCTCAACTCGGACGGCTAAACATGTATGATTTCTATAGAGCTCTAGAGGTTTCTTTCGACGGGGCGAAGCTGAAAGGGATTGCGGTGGGTCCTCAGTCGTGATACTGAATGACGGCTGACTCAACCGTGCAGAACGTTCGACGGCAATTCACTAATTGTGTGAGACAGTTTCGTCATATACTTATGTTCAAACGCGCTGGCAGGGGACACGAGGACGGCGGTATTGCTGGGACACCGCCTGGAGGAGCAGCCATCCAATGTCCCGCCTGTCCGAACTTCGACCGAAATGTCCCCAAGAATTGGGCATCTCTCCCGTTCCGGTGTGTATTGAATCTCCTGCGAATGACTTGCGTTGACGATATTTAGGTTTCTCTATGGTCTGACGGTGTGTCTAGATGCGAACTTCCGTCTGGTCAACAAGTTCACCCGCTCCACCACTCAGACGGATCCGAACTTGACAGACGGAAGAGCGTATATGGCACCCAGGGAGGATTTCGAGGCATATCTTTGTGAAACAGACAAACGCGTCGCTGAAGAGGTACGGGCTGATTGCTGGATGTTCTACATGATGGTCTGATAATGCACCAGCGAAGCACTTGTTCGCGCTTTGGTGCGCTATTTCTCGCCGATAAGAAGGGTGGGAAAGGTTTACGTACGACGGGTATCGCCGGCTGCTTCTGCGCACGGCATGAATTTGTGATGCCTCTCGGGCTGGCTACCTTACGGTTTGGAGAGAGGTGAAGTCTCCCATAGTCCTCTCAGGCACCGATGCTAACATTCCTTCTACTAAGATTCAATGTCATGGACTATGTCCTCTGCGGCGCACTTTCGTACGTAAAGGCCGCATCAGTCACCGTGTCCTACGACGTCGCTTGTCAGTACTGCAAGAAGCTGCCTGATCGCTTACGCAAGATACGAATGGGACGCGTGGTATGGGCAGGGGCACAGCGCTTCTTCGAACTAGCCAGTGTCGGCGCCGTCAATTATGTTGTGCCAAAGTTTCACCTCTACGCGCACAAAGTCTGGTGTCAGATACGGCTCGCCTTTCTGTGGCTGCGCGGCACAGGCTTGACCGACGGAGAGACGCCGGAGCGGGTTTGGTCGGGCGCCAATCCTGCGGCACCAGCCTTGCGCGAAATGGGTCCTGGCGGCATGAGTGACATGATGGACGACATGGCAGGCTCCTGGAACTGGCAGAAAACCTGTGGGATTGGTAAGCGATGATAACCGCCCGCGGACGCTCCGCTGACTAGTACATTCACAGCTGACTCACTCATCCAACGTATGGATCGCGCACTCGATGAAGGCACCACGCAGACCGGTATCTTCACCGAGTTCACGGAGGCGTTAGAATATCAGGACGCTAGAAGGGTGCAAGCGGAACGCGAACGCATCGCCCTTTGGGAGGCCTGCAATCAGCTCAAAACATCGGATAGGTGTTGTCCCTATTATGTTGTACAGCAAAGTGAGTAATGACGTATTGGCGACCCAACGAGCGGCTTTCTTAACCGGATACGAGGACAAACCATCAAGCAAATCACGCTCTTGACGAAGCTAGACAGAAAGGCCACTGCGCAGGCGACGGCGACGGACGGTGAATATAGCTCAAACGAGTTAGCGAACTTCTTGCTGCGAGGCCTTAGGATCGAAGACGAAAGGTAGTTCATCGCGGATATCTGTCCCGTCCTCGCAGTACTCATCCCACTCCAGGGACCGTATTTCTTCCAAGTACCAGCTTGATGGAGGGCCTACATCAGAAGCTATCAGCCGGACGAACGCCATCAACGCACTTGCTCTCGAGATCAACCGTTTCCGCCAGGATCAGGAACGTGTGATGCCATCCACGTACGCCGCGCTCACTCCGGAACAGCGCGATGTCGAGCGAGATACGGCGCTGACGGTGGACCTCTACATGCCGTCCAGCCCTCCTAGTGGCGATCAGTCGCTCACCACACAAGCAGCACGCGCAATCGAGGCAAAGCTAAGATTTGCTGCAATGGGCGACGAACGGGAGAACCTGCAACAACAATTACGCTTGAAAGGGTGTCTTTACAGGTTCAGACGCGCCAACATCCGAGGTCAGCGAGCATCAACTCGTGCGCTCAGCACACAGGAGGCCATAGAAGGGGAGATTCAGAGGGCCGCAGATGCCTATCGGCGCCATCGCGTGAAATACGCGGCGCTGGAAGGACCTGGGAAGTGGCAAGACGAGATGCGCGAGTTGCTCGACTCAGACTGTCGTCCTCTAGGAGATCGGATGATCGAACAGATGGACAAGATGTCTGAGTACAATGCCAAGAAGTACCTGACATTCAGAAAAGGCGGGGAGACGTCAGGAGATACTCATCACCAAGTTTCATGGATTTGGTACAACACAAATCTGGACTCGGGATCGCATATGTCAGCCGGTACGTCATCATCAAGGAGATTGCTACAATGATTCTGAGCACATCTACAGAGCTCATGGTGGAATGGAGCAAATGCCGTGCCCGCGCTATTCATTGGGTCGAGGAAGTGCGATTACTCGACGCAGAGATGCAGCGTGTTCTGGACTTCAACGATTCGGTGGCTCTCGACTGGGATAGGCGCAAGACTCCAACACTCAAGTCAGCGCTCGGCGTTGGACAGCCGAGCTGGGCTCGAGACGCTGCTTATTTCGACGGCCTTCGCGCTTACGCCTCCAAGCAGGCGCACATTCGGCGTGCGCAAGCGGCCAAGTGGCGCGAACAGTTTGCGCAGTACCGAAAGGATGCTGAGAGATTTCTAGCAGTCCATACCTCGGAAGGTCTATCCATAGAACCGCTCACGATGCTCTCTCCGGAAGAGGTGAAGGACATGATGATGCGTACTAGTCGGAGGAAGGTCAAACTCGCGAAGGCCAAACGCGCACGACGCGTGGTCACAGACGAGGGTGAACTCATACATAAAGAAGACCTGGAGGAGGACACCGCGGACGAGAGGGATGTCTCGGAACCCTTGCCGCCATCAGTGGGTGTTGTTAAGAAGGGCAAGAAGGGCAAGAAGGGCGGGAAGGGCGGGAAGGGCGGGAAGGGCAAGACCGGAGCGGACATGAACGAACAGGCGGCCGTGGCTACTGGTTAGTGTAAGGACAAGGCTTTCATCGAAGAACAGAAGTAGGTCAAGATGTATTCCAGAGGTTGTGTCACATATGTATAGACCAATCATGGTCTAGGGTCGTTAATGCACGGATGAAGTTGCATCTGGTCCGAGAAGTGACTTCGAAAGTGCTAACATGTGTGTCGGCGAAGAACTATCAGTTCTCGCCTGCTCCGGACTACCCGACGGCGATGAGTGCTTCCCGCATTCCCATTCAGCTATACATTGTCTCGGACATAGAGTCTATTCTGGAACGTAGGTTCATGGGCTGCCCGTTGGCGCCTTGCCGGCAAATTGGTCCGTGAGATCGTCACAGGATCGTGCTGCGTGCAAGGCGTCGTCCCCTTCTTCAACCACCATCGTCGTCTCCTCCTCCTTGTACTATAGTCTTCTTGCGCTCATATCTTGCAATGGCTCTAACTGCCAATTCTTCTGAGGCTGCGGCCGCTGACGATTGGCCCGATGACCCAGGCGGGTCTGTTTGGGCAGCTTACCTCGAAGATTCTTCGAAGGCCTTAGAATTATACGCCCAGTACTCTTCGGGCATCATGACCGGGATCCTCACCTTTGTGCGTACTGCTGGATTGACGATGAAACCGACTAACGCTCCCCGATAGGCGGGTCTCTTCGGCGCCATCGTCGCAGCGTTCTTGATGGAGAGCCTCAAGTCTCTGAAGCCCGATCCGGCAGAAGAGAGCAGGGACGTATTGAAAGAGACCAGGGACATATTGAACAAGCTCCTGAGTGCTACGTTGAACGGCACCGAGTCTCATATCGAGGCGGTCGATCCCCCGCCCTTTCGTCCAGATGCTACTGCTGTCATTGTGAATCGCCTTTGGTCTACGGCGCTCGCTATCTCCCTTATGGCTGCGCTTTTGGCGACCCTTTACCAAGAATGGGCGACAAGACTTGTCTCTTTGCGAGATCGCTCTAAGAACAGGGATCTGGAGGCGCACGCTATTCACCATATTCAACGCTTCAGCAGCGCCTATCGATATGGCTTCGACTCGGTCGCCCCGTTAGTCATCGGCTTGATGCACTTTGCCGTCATTCTATTCCTCTTGGGGCTAGTGCTATATCTACGCTCCCTCGACCCCGATCCCGCCTACTACGTGTTTCTCGCGACCGGCACTGGCGCCATAGTCTACTCAGGCGCCAGTCTCCTGCCGATGAGAGATCCGACATGCATTTACCGCACCCCCTTGACGGCCTTCCTCACGCTCTCCACCGCGATGTTTGTATCGTTCGTCGTGGTGGTCGTGTTGTACGCTTGGGCGCTCTGCAAGGCGGCGGCGGCCTGCTTGTCGCGCGGCCGTCCTAGCGAAACGTGGAGCCGCGCCCTCGAGTGGAAGACATGGGGGGAAGCATGGGATCCGTTCCATATCTCCACGTCAGTATACGCAATGGCGGTCTATCGTTGGAGAGGAGGCGAAAGCCAAGTGGGCATGCCCCTCGAGGTTTTCATCGGCACGACCATCGAGACCGGGCAGATGCCGCCGGTGCAAGCCCCTCTTGGCGAGTTCGAACTCAATTTCCTCGTCCAGCACGTCGGATGGATGATCGTCGACTATCCTGCCTTCATGCGGCACCTTGTCTTGGACCTGCTCGACGTAGGAAGTCCTGCCTTCGGAGCAGTCTTCGTTCAAATCCGGAGGAGGAGGCATCTCGTACGCAAGATAGCCATAGGACTCTGCGAAGTGGAGTCGCCGAACTCGGCTGTGGGGGCTCTGCGGCTGCTACAGGTGATGCTACTGGCAAGGTGGAGATTGGACACCGTCGATCAGTCCAGGACACGAGATGAATATCGATGGGAGATGATGGACCCCATCTTCCAGGCCGCACCCCGCTTCGTAGCTCGGCTGATCAAGGCCGACAGGCAAGCGATGGGAACGAAAGATCTTTCTGTGCGAGCTGCCTTGTGCAGTCTTCGCTGGTCTCTTCTGATTCTATGGGATGATGCGGCCGCAAGCCCTAGTGCACCGTCGCTCGTCAACGATCGCATACGCGACCTGCTGCGGTCCTTCGAGCACCACAACGACGTCTTTGCCTTGCTCCCCTTCAGCACGTACTCTTCTCTCGGCTCAGACCAGCAGAACATGGCCCCGCCCTTCTATCAGGGAGAGATCCCCATCCGGGAGGTAGCCGCCCTCAACTCGTTTCTTCTCCTTGAAGCCGCGCTGCAATGTGATTGGAGCGGCTGGTGGGCAGCGCCCGACGTCCCATACCTCAAGGAGGAGTACGGCCCCGGCATGTGGGAGTGGGATAAGGAGTTCTCACCGCTGCGCAAGTTCTCTTCGTCGCCTTTCAAAGTCATATCTCCGGAGAGATTTGGGCAGCTTCTGCGAAGGATCGATGCCCGTCCAGGTACTTGGACGGATGGGAATATCTTCGTAATCCCATTGGATGTGAACGTTCCCTCCTTCGCCATCCGCGCTCTCTACGACTTGTCCAAGATGGTCAACCTGACTGCACTCCACCGGTCCCTCGTTAAGGCGCAACAGGAATACATCTTGTGTCCGGCACCGGAGGATATGCATCTTCCCGAGTCTCGCGAGCCTCTCGACAATAGCCCCGATTATACCGTGGCACCGCAAGGTGTTCCGCCTTCGCAGGATCTCGCGCAAGAGAGTCCGCGTCTTTCTATTTCCCACGAGCCCCTCGACAATAGCCCCGATTATACCGTGGCACCGCAAGGTGTTCCGTCTTCGCAGGATCTCGCGCAAGAGAGCCCGCGTCTTTCTGTTTCCCACGAGCCGCTCGGCGAAGGCGCCAATGGCAATGGCAACGCGGTACCTCAGGGCACTCCATCATCGCAGGACCTCGCGCCAGAGAGTCCGCATCTTATGCCCCGTGAGCCGTTGGTCAATGGCTCTGGTGCTCCTGTGCATAACCCGGCTTCGGAAGATCCGGATAGTCCTGAGGGTTCGGAGGACTCTGCGTCGGATGATTCGTTGCCGACGGATGAAGGAGCTGCCGTGGAGTCCGCACAACAAACACCCTTTGCCAATGGCTTCATGCCGAAGGAACCTCTGCTGGGGGAAGCGAGCCTCGACAGCTCATGTCCAAGGCACGCCATTTGTCGAATCGACAGCGTTCATAACATCATGGCTCATTAGTCACGTTAGTACGTCGCGGGATCGTTCGTGATGTAAGGCAAGCTCGTCAGTGCAAACTGACCCGGCCTACTCCATATACACGACCTCGATAGCTGACCCATGTCTCGTTCTTCTACACGCTCCTTACTCTCAACGTTGTATATCTACTTCTGTTTCTACTTCCATTGCGTTATTCATCGGATTTCTCCCTTTCCTTTCGCTAAGGGTGTCGATGTCCAGACCCTCCCATCCCGCCCGTTCCAGCCGAGGCTCGGCATTGCGCCTCTTGTTGCATTACTACTTTGGAATTCCCTGTCACCCCCTGTTTTATGATCTTTCCAAGCTTCGTTTCTACCGATCACATAGCGCCTCTTCAGTCCTGTCGCGAGGATTGACTTGCCTAGAGATCAGAAAAGCGTGTCTGAGTAAACGCCGCCAGAAGACTGAGGTGTGAAGTCCATGCCAATTCGAGAAGCGCTCGGCTGCATGATCGTGAGAGATCGCACAGTTGAATTGGTGAAGACACGACCGCTGGGATGAATGCAACAATGAGGATTACGCCATGGTAACTTGCGTGACATAGAACATGGGCTGGCATCGACATGATTGTACGACTGAGTCACCTATCTCCCCGCTTTAATGACAGCTTATATATGTAGTCGATGCAATTCGGGACGGGTACATGCCTTCTATAGAGTTACAGCGAGCCAGGCGTTTAGTCCTGATGTCTCAAGGGAAGAGCTTTCCGTTCCGACGGCAATGTCTCACACTTTCCCATCATGATGTCGGCGACACCCGAGGCAGTATAAGAATCTCATTGCTCACGCAAGTCCTATCGTCCGCCGACATGGAGACCCTAGCTCATCATATGTTCCTGAACGCGTATCAACTGTCAATCATATCACGCATGAGGCCGTCTTCAACGATGCGATGTGTCGAATCGACCTTGCCGGTGGTCGGCGGCTTTGCGAATCTAGCTTCAGACGAGATAGCAGCGAGCGAGGCCATCGGATTCCCCATCAGCAAGGACGCAATTGCCAAAGGCGAGATCATCTGCAATCACCTATGGAAAGCGCAGGGACCCGCCAGCGAGGGACAATACTTTTGCGTGGGGTGGATCTCGAGATCAGATTGCAAGTCCGATAGGAATCCCAAGCTCGATAAGCTCGACTGTGGGTTTCACTTCAGCGCCGAGTAGGTCAAGAACAGTATGTCCTGACTACGATCTGCTCGAAGCATGTCACTGAATACGACTTTGCTGCAGAGGAGGCCATGTATCCGAATCTCGCCTGGGACAGGCATAGTTCATGGGGTCTGCACGGCATGACAAAGCAACAGATCGACTCACGCGCCACGTACTACCGCGGGACGACGAGCTCGAACCCTGCCTGGGATATCATTCGGTCCCTTCGCTCGGCCCGTAAGTGTCCGTATACAGTCAATTACTGCGTCGATCTGACAGAAATCGTAGCGATCACACTCGAGAACTATCGTCAGTCTGATACCAATCTAATTGTTATACTCATATTGATCTGCATCGCCAGCATTTGACAAAAGGATATCTGCACCAAACAACCTGATCGCGTGGGGGGTTGCGGACGAACTGCTGAGCGGCGGGGCAGCCAGTTCGTCATCATCTGGTTCGCGGACACAACATGGATCTAGCGTGCCGCGGCCTCTGCAGACCCCTCCACCATCGCCCGAGAAGAAACGGAGAGTGAACGCCCCTGAGGCTGCTGGGCCTTCGGCCCTCCGCGATCATCGGTAGGATGTCAGTGTACATCACATCAGGGGGGCAATATTCGTGTACTGAACAGTGCTAACTTGATAGCTTGGTGAGCTTACGAGTGTCTGTGATATGAGATGTCCTTAGTAGTAGATGTGTACGATTGCGCGCGACACGAGTTATATGAGAACTTGGATCGGTTCGGAGGAAGGAGTGACAAACACTCAATCCCAAGCGTGTATGCGACGTTCTGTCGAACTAACCGCACGACAATCACGAGCGTCACAGAACACACCAGCCATTGACATCGAACGACTGAACAGGTTGTGAGTTCACCTCCCTCGCCAGATGAACGAATCAATCATTAATCCGATTTCGAGTCGAGTTTCTGTTTAATTAGATGGGCCGGTGGACTCACATTGTCGTTCACAAAGTCGACTCACCTAGCTACTTGGCTACAGAAGTCAGCCCGAGAGTGTGTTACATCCACTCGAGACCAAAATGCCTTGCAATCCACTCACAAACGGGACGTAATGAATGATGTATCACATCTTGCCCAGTCGTGCTACGAAGTCATGCATCGTCGCCGTAGCGGTGATATAGTCGTCATTAGATTTCTGTATCCTACTCTTGAGTACTCGCAGTCGGCGTACGCGCTTCGGCCTCTTTCTCCTATCTCCCCCTTCCAATGCATGCTCGGCGCTGCGCTGCCGTGCACCGCTCCTCGACGCCGCTCTATACGCGGCATACTGAACCTGCCATAGACGAAGGAACATAAAGTCCTACACGTAGTCAGCTTCAATTCGCCTTGCATAATGGTGCATACACGTACATCGGCATCTGTGGTGAATGCTGGTGGAGGTCCTCGCCGGGAATGTAGGCGGCCTTCTCCATGTCGCAAAAACCTGTCGCATTCGTCATCCATGTTGATAAAACGACCCCGTGGATTACCCACTGGTGTGTAGGGGATCCCGGTCGCGCCAAGGCTGCCTTCCGCCGATAGCTCCACTTCCCCCTTGGGCATGGCAATCACTTTCGTCTCATCCTCCTCCTCAGTCACATCAACACCTTAGCATTTTCCAGGGTTGATGATACCGCAGAAAGAATACCGGCAGGAGATGACGGGGAGAGACAAGTGCGCGCTGGCGCGCGACTGCCGAAACGAGTCCGCGGTTCTACTGATCCGTTCGGGTCGCCATGGTCAAGCGCCGCGGTCCCCGGCTATGGGTGGAATACTACAACACTCCTTTCTCGACGTCAAGACTCCCGGTGTGCTCATTCGTGGCGGTCTCGAGAGCCCACTCCAACGAGTTGGGACTCATCGGGGACATGGACGTGTGCTCTATCAGCGATCAATCCCGGGCTGCGGCGGTTG